CACTGATGTGCCCCTACTAGACACAGCCTGCTCTAAGGCAGGGACCATGTTTGATCTGCTTGGTTTGCCAAATGCCTGGTTTTGTCCTTTGCGGTTACTTCTGGAAGGATGTAAACAAGAGCTTTTCCTCCCGCAATGGGATGGGCCAAACCTTCAGTCCCACAGTCTTGCAGGAGAGAGGCAATCTAGATAGAAGAGGAGGTTCTGGGCTGGAGAGATGGCTCAGAGGTTAAGAGCACTGACTGCTCTTCCAGAGGTCCTGAGTTCAATTCCCAGCAACCACATGGTGGCTCACAACCATCTATAATGAGATCTGGTGCCCTCTTCTGGTGTACAGACATACGTACAAACAGAACACTGTATACATAATAAATAAATAAAACTAAAAGAAGAAGAGGAGGAGGAGGAGGTTCTAACTGGAAATGCAAGTAGACTCCTGCCCTTTCCACCCCTAGCGCCATTAAGGGAAAGGGCTGGAATGTTCTCTGGGGACCTCTTGGATCAGAGTATACAAATCAAGAAGAGGTTTGGAGCTTTTCTCCACATTTCTGTGTTTCCAGATTTAGGAGAACAACTGGAGCAAGAGATGAGTGTCCAGGAAGCTACCAACACTTGTAGTTTACTGGACCAGCAGGAAGGTTCACTGTAAAGATGCTTAATCAGCAAGCCCAATGACCCGAGTTCAATTCTCAGGACCCACACAGTGCAAGGTAAAAACCCACTCCCATAATTTATCCTCTGGCCTCTACATGTAACCTGTGACACATGCACACACATACACATACATGCTCATGTAATAAATAGATGTCATTTTAAAAAAAAAAAACTTGCAGTTATTAACTGTTTGACTACTTTCAAAAGGCAAAACCCTCCAACATATTTAATGAATGGTATTACCTGGTCCTTCACATAAAAATACAGAATCAAAAGGGAAAGCAGGGCTGGAGCAGTGAGAGGCTGGATGTGGGGAGTGTAGGGCCACAGCTTCCTAAGGACTACAGTGTATGCATACAGCAGGTGCGTCTTTCAGCAGAGGCCCCTGGAGGCTGGTGCAGGGAGTGTGGGCGATGCTGGAATGAGCTGCTGCTGCTGCTGCTGCTGCTGCTGCTGCTGCTGCTGCTGGGTGAAGAATCCTGTTGCAGCAACACAGATGGGAATAACGGGCACCAAGAATGGGAAGGTGCTAAGTCCCTCCTCTTGACTTCTCCAGTCAGTGTCCCTGTATCAAAGGGAGCGGTAGAGGAATGAGGCCCAGATTCAATGTCACAAGGCAGAACCCAGAACGCCATATGTGCTGAAGACAGGCAACAGCTGATAACCAGCATTCTTCATTCATTCACACAGCCTCAGTTTTATTTAGGCATAAAGTGGTTTATCATGATCTGGAAATCTGGGCACCCCCACCCAGACTTAGGGGTGAAGTTTGATTGGTATGCTTTTCTATAGGCCCCCAGATTGCTGCAAGCCACAAAAATAGATGAAGTAGGACTTCAGCTGGTTATGACAAGCTAATCATACCTGGAAGAAGCCAAGGGCCTTCCAGAGGTCAAGCTGAGGCTCAAGGGATCTTGGCGACATTGGCTTCTGATTATCAGAATCAGATGATATGCTATGAATTTCTCGTGTGCTATTGTAGCCTTTCCATCATTCACTGGGCACCATTTCCCCTCTACTAAGCAATATTTAGATAACCTTCTGTGCAGCAACGCACCCAGGATCCCTAATTTCAGGCCTTTCTGTCATTATCGTCATTAGCAGCATCCAGCCAGGACCATCCCCAGACAGATGAAAGTACCTTATCAGAGATACCTCTGCACTCTCTAAGAACAGGCTTAAGCATCCAGACTATCTGTTTGAGAAGGCCTGGTGGATGTGCTAATTAAGCTTAATGTTCCCCTTTCCAAAGTCTTATCTCTAGCTTTAACTGTTAACTCAGAGCTAAAGGGTTTCTACTTACAGGTACATCAAGCTGACTCAGGCTGCCCAGCCACCGAGTACACGGCCACCCTGCCAGAAAGCAGTAGTCAAGATAGCTTGGACAGATAAGGGGCCACAGGAAAATAAGGCAGTTTTATTTTCACTCATCACTGATAGACTCCTAGCACTTTAACTAACCACTTCTAAGAATATAGTTGGGCGCATAAAATCCCCCTTGCTCAGAAATTAACCGAATTTAGCCCTCAGTTGATTTTATCCCCCATTAGTCACTTCCCTTTTGGGTTTCAGATGATGGCTGGCAATTACTGCTCTTTTGTGTGGATCTCATTGCCTCTCCTTTTGACCCTGAGGGAATTCAAGCCTGGTGACCTCGCTTTAACCAGAGCATTGCTTTTGCATAGGTATATAACTGTAAACCTCAGAGACTTGGGAGGACAAGACTGAGAAGAGAAAAGAGAATGGAGGAACTAGATGGGGAAGAACTAGAGAGGAACAAACTGAGATGGGGAAGAACTAGATTGAAGGGATAGAAGAGAGGACTAGAGGAATGAGATGGAAGATGAGGAAGAGCCGGATGGGGAAGAACAAGATGAGGAAGGAGATGGGAGAGGAGCTAAGATGCGAAGGAACTAGATAAATGAGAACCTAGATGGGGTGGAACTAAGATGAAGGAATTAAGAAAGTCTTAGAAGGGTTAGCAGATAAATGTAAAGAGAAATTAGGCAAGAAAGGAGCTAGGCATGAGAGCAGAATAGAAGCTGTGTAGAGAGAACTGACTCAGAAGAATAAAATCAATGAACTAAAGAGCTCGGTGTACTTAGATTCTTTTCCCAAAAATAATTTGCGCCATTCATAGCTTCTCTTCTGGGCCCTTCCCTGGGAGGAAGATTATTAAGGCTGGTCCTTAATAATTTCTGAAACCAGACTTATAAGAATTCACTACCGATACTGATACAACTTCTTAAATATAAGGAAAGGAGTGTGTATAACATCACTCTTGTCTTACAGTAGGAGTAACTGCTCTCGGGTTATGTTAACCCAAATATATTCATGTTTCCTGCATATTAAAAAGTCTTATATCGCCATTTGGTAAACTAAAATGAAACTACCTGGAGGGAAAGGATGTGCCTGCTTATGATTAGTTAGTCACCTAGACGTCAAACCTCTGGGCACGTCTGTAAGGGAGTTTCAATAGTGGGTTAATTGATGTAGGAAGACCACACTATGTGTGGGCAGCACCCCTCCACAGGCCATGGCCCCAGGCTGCAGGAGAAGGAGAGTGAGCTGAGCACCAGAATTCATCATGCTCTGCTTCCCAGACTTCAGATGCGATGCGCTCAGCTGCACGGAGCTCCTAGCACCCTGACTTCCTCACCGTGACTGTACCCTCCATCTGCGAGCCCGAGGAGACCCCCCTCTTCCCGAAATCACTTTGTCTGGTATTTTATCAGCACAGTGAGCAAACATTCCAAAACACTGCTCTGGTCTCCAATCATGCAGAGCCTCCTCCAAACTCAGGGGCCACCACCGCCACTCTCCTGGGAGGTCTGGGTCACACCCGAAGCTCTAATTCTGGGCTGCAGTGTTTTCTAGTCTCCTCCATTTCTTCCCCTAAGAATAGCAGGGCTTCCTCCTGCAACTTCCCTTATAGCCGCCTTCTGTTTTCCCAGTCTCCAAATCCCTGTAACTCATTTCCCTAGGAAATTATCTCTGTTAACATCCCTGGTACATGGGCTGGGGAGATGGCTCAGTGGGTAAGAGCACTTGCTCTGCAAGCATGAGGCCCTGAGTTCAAATCCCCAGCACCTGCATAGAAAACTAGGCCTGGCTACGCATGCTTGTAAATTTCACATTAGGGGACAGTGTTAGGAAGATCCTGAGAACTGGTTGGCTAGGCAAAATAGTGAGCTTCTAATTCAGTGAAAGACCCCGAAGGCCAATAGCTGTAGAGGAAGGCCCCTTATGTCCTGCTCTAGCCCCAGATGCACACTGGTGGTCACGTGTACTCAGACTTCCATGTACAAGCGCCATTCATACATATCACAGACATACACAAATGCATATAACTGGCACTGTGTCCAGTTTCCTGACTTGAACCTGAACAACACTGTTGAGAGGTGCTTAGGTTTGGCCACACTCTAAACATGTCTTTCAGCATACTAGAGACTTGATCTTTGGGCAGTGAAATTAAATAATGAGATTACAGGGTAGTGGGTCTTTAAAAGGTGGGGCTTGGTAGACTAGGTAATGGGGCATCCCGATTAATGCATTCTTTACAGGACCTGGTGATTTCCATGAGCAATTTATTTTAAAAGAGCAAGATTGCCCCTTTCTACTCTCCTGCTTCTGTCTCACCAAGGGGCATCTCTATTTAAATGTGCCCCTTCCCTTTTAACTTCTCTGTCACGCTGTGACCAAACGGGGTGGGGGTGGGGGCCTTTCCAGATGTGAGCACCATGCTATCTGTACATTATCGGCCAGAATCCTGAGCCAACCAAACTTCTTTTTCCATATATTACACACAGAGCCTCGGGTTTTCTAGCAACACAAAATGGAAGCAGGGAGCTTCCACTAAGGTCTGATTCCATTACTGTTTGTGAGTCATCTCTTATCATAGTGTACTGTAATAATAATGATTACTTACTGAGTATCTGTGCATATCTCACATCCCGTGCCTAGCCTGGAATGCATTCTAAAAGTCTTATTATGGCCAGACCATGCGTGACAACTCGGAAGCCCTGCAGCACCAGCCCAGATGATGCAGAGATCACATTACAGTTTCTGCAGGAATCATCCCACAGTACTCACTGACCAGCAGCTTCCATATCCTTCACTACAGTTTCCTATTCGAAACCAATCAGTGAAATCCAAACATGTTCCCCCAAACCAAACACATAAGATGCCCTGCCTCTGACCCTCCTCCAGCTCCCCAGGGCCAGCAACATTGAAAAAGGGTAGCCTTAAAAGCTTCTCCCCTTTTCACTCCTGATCAGGCTGAGGCCAAATCGTTTTTCCGCTATACAAGAGACAGATCCAGGATTGAAACCGGGATCGATCCTGACCTGGCTCCAGCTGTCCTTGCATCATGGCCATCTCACTTGGTGTTATTGTCGCAGGAGGAGTCTGTCTCCCTGCTTAGACATTTTTGTCTTTCTCCGAGTTGGGAAGGATGGCTAACCAACTTAGTATTCTCGGCACTCACGCCAGCACGGCACACTGCAGATGCTCCGCATCGTTCAGGAGCAGCACCGAGAAACTGTTTCTGAACAACCTCTGCCAGGCATGCGGCTGAGAAACACCTGGAGAGAGAACATAAAATCCATTTTATGTTCTGTTTTGGAGAACGCCTGGGCTTTCTCATTTTCCTTCTGAGTTGTGGTGTCATCTGAGGACACTGTCCTGGGAAGATGTGGAACAAGAGTGACATGTGTGTGCACCATGGGGTTCCCCAGGAGTCAGGGAAGCCGGGGATCGAAAAGAAGCAGGAGGCACAGCATTTGGAGGCTATACTAAAATGATCCAAGGTCCCAAATTCACCATCTACCTCAGGCACTTAAAATTTTGCAGTAATTTGAAGTAAATGACTGCCTCATTCTCCTCCTCTCACACAAGTAGTTCCAGTACCTTTGCAAAACAAACAAAAAAACAAAGAAACAAATTTTTGAAAAAACCCCCACCAGTTTAAGAAGCTGAGGAAGGTGGAGCCCCAGAGCCCCGCCCCTTAGAAATATGAAGGACCCGCTTGTTCCTGAATGGCCACTAGATGGCACTAGTATGGAGCTGATTCAGAGGTCAGAGCTCCACATCCATACTTTCAAAAACCCCATCTCTTTCATCAACCTAGGCCAGCGATACTGAGGTACACTGGACGCTCAAACTTGAATCCGGCTGCACTTATAATCCCATGGCGAGCCTTTTATGTGATTGCAGAGTTTATCATTAATAGCGCGTTTGCTCTGCATCGGGGACCTGAATTAGCAGAGGTTTAATAACGGAAAGCAGCCTAATGTTTACACTAAGCTAAGCAAGGTCACCCGGCTATTCAGAGAAATGACCTGAGCCGTCTCCCAGCAGGATTAATGTAAATGAAGCCTTTCGTTGATTAGCTTTGTTCAGCTGCCCTGCGCTTTCGAAATGGCAGGTTTCAGAGGATCACAGCTTAATTACATAATCATACAGAATAATATTTAATAAAGCACAGAGCAAACAAACACACTGGCAACATCATCTGGCTATTACCAGCGACCGGAGGCAGCTTGGTGCCGGATTAATTCTTCAATCTCGCAGAGGACCAGTTAGAAAAGGATCCGGAGCACAATCCATAGGATGGTAAGGGTTAAACAGTACGGGGCTTCCAAGTACTGATCACCGTGCATAGGAAGTGTGCAATGAAAAAATAATAAATAATAAAAAAAAACCTCCCCTACTCCCTAGTGACAGGCTTTCGAATCAATAATTAAAATGGGCGTCTGCAGTACCCCTGTGCAGACTGCATTCCCAGGGTTCCATTCCTTTGAAATTATTTCCCATCCACCACTTCACCTTGCAAGTCTTAGAACAGAGGAGAGATGCTGTGTGGGATGGGGGAAGAGGATGTTTAAAAATGCAGATTAAGGATCAATGCAGACCTCTGCATCCTGAGCTGGCCTTGCCCATGTGACCCAATTTCAGGAGCCTCACATTCCCCAAGACAAACGCTGTGCTAGGGTAGAGAGGGTCCGCATTATTCCTGCTGTGGCTTCATTACCTCCACCCTGGGGAAACTGGATCCTGGGTGAGGTCTGGTTTCAGTTGCGGAAAAATGGAAGGACGGGGTGTGGTTTGGAAGGACAGGAAACCTCTGTAGATATCCAGGCGGTCAGACTAGATCTTGAGTTCTTGCTTTAACTTATAGTCAGAAATCCAGGTGAGAGCCAGTTTCTCTGAACTGGAGTTTAGTGTCAGGAAAAGCAGCTGCCTTGGAATCTGCAGACCCAGATGCTGCCTGGCTCTGCTGTTGTTGTATAATGATTTATCTGATCTTTGTTCCAGGTTTCTGGAAGGAAGCATCTAAAACCCTTGCAATTTCCCAAGTGCTAGAAGCCCCAGACCTCACCTAAGTTTATGATATCGAGCTGGCTCTGGATAGCCCCTAGTTCCCAAGTAGGCCTCCCATGAGACTGAGGCCAGAGTGGGTGGGGAGTCAGCGGCTACATTACCAAGTAGGTCTGGTCATTAGCTCATTGAGCTTATTGGTTGGCGGATGCATTCATACGAAGAGGACTGATGGATCATGAGAAAGCAGCCTCCAGACTCTGTACTATGTCTCTTCCTTTGGTTGGTCCTGATTGTATCCTTTAAAATAAAATCCTAAATTCAGAACTTCCTTGAGTTCTGTGAGTTATTCTTGCAACTTAATCAAAATTGAGGAAGATTATGGGAATCACTCGACCCAGATTTGTGGTCATTTTGTCAGAGAATAAGTGATCTATAGATCCCATCTCCATCTACTAAGAGGGGAAACTCCATGGGGACACTATCTTTAAGTTGTGAGCTCTGTCCTAACCCCAGGTAGCTAATGCCAGAATGGATTGCAATTTGAATAGCTATTTACAACGGCCTGGCCTCTGGCAAGCCACTTACCCACTGAGATTTATCCCTGCATCTATAAAAGGAAGCTGGCCACGGTGATAGCTACAGCCACTAACAATGAGCTGTACCAGCGAAGTGTTAGGAACACTGTCCAGTACGATAGAGAATGCTTTCCCATCTGCTGGGGATCTCAGGTGAGTCCACTTTGAGTCTCTCTATCGCTAACGTGTCCTTTTGTTCCTTTGCCATGTAGGATTTTAGTGAGGACTTGCTGAGGCCATCACTGTGAAAATGTTATGAGGAAGCCATCAGAGCTGGAAAGGATGGATGGCTCAACACTTAAGAGCATTTGTTGCTCTTCCAGAGGACCCGGGTTCAGTTCCCAGCCCTGACCAGGTGGCTCACAACCATCTACAGCTCCAGTTTCAGGGGATCTAATGCCCTCCCCTGGCCTCCACAGACTAGGCATCCACATGATACACAGATACATATGCAGGCAAAATACCCACACGCATAAAATAAAAACAAATCTTGTTTTAAAATGAAAAGAGAAAAGAAAATACATCATATTGCTTCAATAGTTTACCTTTTGTTCTAACTATTAAATGTAGCACACAAAGATAGCCAAATTTGTTTTTACTGAGCATGGAGAGAATTTAGTGTAGTCAGACCTGGGCTGGAGAGATGGCTCAATGGTTAAAAGCACTGGTTGTTCTTCCAGAGGACGGAAGTTCAAATCCCAGCACCCGTACCCATATGGCAGCTTACAATCCTATGTAATTCCAGCTCCAGGGTATTCTGTGCCCTCTTCTGACCTCCTCAGACATCAGGCATGAACACATTACATATACACATATGCAGGCAAAACACTTATGTGGTGGTATTGTGTTCCCCAAAATATTGTGCACCCTAATAATTTTATCTGGGGTCAGAGACAGAACAGCCACTAGATACAAAGGCTAGAAAATGGTGGCACTCACACCTTTAATCCTAACATTCCAGAGGCAGAAATCCATGTGTTCAAGGATACGGCCAAGCATGGTGACTCATGCCTTTCATCCCAAGAAGTGAGCCTTTAATCCCAGGGAGTGATAGCAGAAAGGAAAGATATATAAGGTGTGAAGACCAGAAACAAGAAGCATTTGTCTGGTTAAGCTTTCAGGCTTCTAGCAGCAGTTCAGCTGAGAGCCATTTGAATATGAGGACACAGAGGCTTTCAGTCTGAGGAAACAAGATCAACTGAGAAGTTGGCCAGGTGAGGAAGTTGTGGCTTGTTCTGTCTTTCTGATCTTCCAGCGTACACCCCAATAACTGGCCTCAGGTTTGATTTTATTAGTAAGAACTGTTAAGATTCCTGCTACACACTTATGCACACAAATAAAAAAAAAACTACAAATATTTTAAGTAAAAATTTTCTTTAAAAAAGTCAGATTTAAAGTGACACAGAGGGATCAAAGAAATTTATTCCAGCCGAGTCCAGGCAAGCCTGAGTCTGTGGGTAACTCCAACTAGATACACATTTGTTCCAGAAGCTGGGGAGCCAGTAGGCTGGGATGGCAGCTTGTGGTGAAGAAAGTCTTCAGTGACCTTAGGAATTCAGGAAAACAAAAACTATCAATATCCCCGTCTCCTTGCCAAACAAAGTTTCGTAAAGCACAAGTCTTGGTAGGTTCTTACCAGACTCTCCCCTCTTGTGGCAGTGGAAGGAGCCTGTTCCATTCGGAAGGCTATAACCTTTGGCCTACGCCACGTTTGCATCCTCTGTGTACTGGTTACGTCCTAAAGGCTTGTTCTCCAACTTGATGCTACTGGGAGGTAATGGGCCTTTAAAAGGCGAGGCCTACTTGTGGTGGTTCAAGCCTTTAATCCCATCACTATGGAGGCAGAGACAAATGGTTCCCTGTGAGTTTGAGACGAGCCTGATGTACAATAGAGTTCCAGACCAGCTAAGACTACATAGTAAGATCCTTTCTAAAGAAAAATAAAACAAACCCAACCAGGTGAGGCCTAGCATCTTTGGGTTAGTGAGGGTGTGTCTTTGAAGGAGATTGTGGGACCCGGGCTTCTTCTCTCTCTCTTCTCTGCTGCTGGCCGTGAAGTAAGCAGTTTCGCTCCTGTGCACACACCCACTGGATATGATTGATGCCTTACCACAGGCCTACAGGCAATGGGTCAACTGCCTGGGGGCTGGGTCTCCTAAATCTAGAAGCAAAGCAAACATTTGGTCTTTATAAATCATATCAGGTGTTTATTTTGGTAACAGAAGGGTTACTTCTATAATACCCTATTATCTCTAAGCCCACTGGGAAGAATCTCTCAACTCCTAGGTCTTTATCCTGAGACCATGAAAGAATAGATGCGGATGCCCTGAGTGAAGGGTATCACTGTTGGGGCTGGAGGAGCATGGGAGAGATGAGAACACTGCATCCACCTGCTGCTGTTGCCATGGTGATTGCATGAGATTCATGCTCACCTGTTTGAAATTTCCTGACACTTGGTATGAAAGCAGTTAATTTGATGGTTGATTCCTACATCTTTGCAATTGCAATGATTATCTGAGCAAGCGACTTGCTGGGAAGTCAAAATGGGGTCTCCAAGGAGCTCAGGTCTAGGGCATATTCTCTACATGTGTATATTCTCAGTCATGAATGCAAGTGAGAGACTGGAACTAGATAGGATGGGAGACCTTTGGAAGACACTGAAAGATAAGTGGACATCACCAATATAATCCAGACAAAGAGAAGCGGGCACAGGTCATTGGACCGAGTCTCTGCTTGACCCTTAGCATGGGGACATTCATTTGTGCATTTAACTGTTCCACAAACCTGTCTTGAGAACTTCATAGGTTCTTTTCCCTAAATGAGGCACCAGTTCCACCAAACCAAATGAAATAATATCTACTCTCAAAGTATTGTTTGGAAGACAACGTAGGAAAAGGGAATGAATGCAGATCTGGGGGAGGGGCAGGAGCCATCGCCAGTGAAACGGGGTGGAAGCAGGAGAGTGTTAGTGCCAACCTGGGTGACATAGTGAGACTGTCTCTAAAGCCAAGAGTTGGGGATACAGCTCTGTGGTGAAATATTTCCTAGAATGTCCTGGGTTCAGTCTCCAGCACTGTGGGGGTGGGGGGTAGGGGGTAGGGGGGAGTGGAGGAGCACTCCCACATTTGGGGTCAATACCACCGCTTTGTCCCTTTCCTATCTGGTTATTCACTCTGTCCTCATAACAACTAAGTAAGATAGTTAACCATAGCTCTGTTTTGCAGACATATGACTGGTGGAGAGGGGTTGTCAAATGGTAGGATTCAAACACAGGTCCGTTTCCAAACGTCAGGTTCCCTCATCATGTCATTCTGCCTTCACCTTATGGAAACGTCCCTGCCCAAGTTGATCCTGACCATCAAGAAAGCTCTGCCCACACCCAATTGCCTTCCGCTTCAGCTTTCCAGGCGTGCGCACGCGGGAATGGGCAAGGGCAAGCACACACACACACACACACACACACACACACACACACACACACACAGAGTTTTGTTGTTTGTTTTCTTTGCCACAAGGATAAAAACGGGGATATACCCAAGATGTACACAATAAAGGAGCAAGATGGTTGAAGAATAAGCCAGCCTTGGTCTGATGGGTGAGTCTCCATATCAAAAAAAAAAAAAAAAATCCATCATCTGCGCTGTTGTTGAGGGAACTCTTTCCCAAGGGAGATATAAACAGATGTCAAACCCTTTCTTAAAGGGAGCTGTCTTAGTTAGGGTTTCTATGGCTGTGAAGAGACATCATGACCATGGCAACTCTTATAAAGGAAAACATTTCACTGGGGCTGGCTTACAGTTTGGAGGCTTAGTCCATTATCATCAGGGTGGGAAGCAAGGCAGCATGCAGGCAGACATGGTGCTGGAGAAGGAGCTGAGTGTTCTTACAGCTTGACCAGTAAGCAACAGGAAGTGGTCTGAGTGTCACAATGAGTGAAGCTTAAGCAAAGGAGACC